GATGCGCCTACGGAGGTCCACACCAACGCCGGTGGTGTCGGTCTTGGTGCTGTATTGGCTCAACGAAAACCAGGATACCAAGAATACGTGGTCGTTTACGCGAGTCGAACCCTCAAGAAAGCCGAGTGTAATTATTCCATCACGGAGAAAGAGTGCCTCGCAATTGTCTGGGCTTTGACGAAATTCCGCCCATACCTTTATGGTCGCCCTTTCGAAGTCGTTATGGACCACCACGCTCTATGCTGGCTATCATCGCTCAAAGACCCGTCGGGGCGCCTTGGTCGTTGGGCACTTCGCCTACAGGAACACGACATTCGTGTTGTATACCGATCCGGCCGCAAGCACTCCGACGCTGATGCGCTATCCCGCTCACCGCTACCGGCTGACCCAACCTCCTCGTCACCTTCTTTAGCTGTCATAACACCAATCGACTTCACAGACATGGCATCGGAACAACGCAAAGATGTGTGAATTTCCCAACTCCTCGCCTTTCTGACTGATCCATCAGCTAATTTGGTCTCAAGAACTATCCGCCGTCAAGCCATGTGCACACATTTCGCTATTCGAGACGACCTCCTCTATCGGCGGAATTACACGTCTGAAGGTCGGAGGTGGCTATTAGTGATACCCAACCACATGCGTTCGGAAACTGTACAGCTTTCCACAACGACCCGCAAAGCGCTCACGCCGGTGCTCTCAAAACGTACAATCGTCTACGTCAGCGATATTACTGGCGCGGCACGTACACATTTGTTCGCAAGTACGTACGTGCTTGTACTGCATGCCAGTGACGTAAAGCCCCACCTCAATGCCCTGCCGGTACACTTCAGCCTCTGCTCTGTCCAGCGCGTCCATTTAACCGCGTCGGTATCGACTTATACGGACCACTTCCCACGTCGTCTTCTGGAAATAGGTGGATAATTGTCGGCGTGGAACACCTCACGCGTTACGCGGAGACGGCAGCACTACCCACGGCAACCGCGAGGGAAGTTGCGTTTTTCATCTTGCGCAACTTCGTTCTTCGCCATGGTGCTCCCCGCGAACTTATGAGCGACCGGGGGCGTGTTTTCTTGTCTGACGCCATTCAAGCCTTGCTCGCTCAGTGCAACATGGTTCATCGCATGACGACAGCATATCATCCGCAGACGAATGGCCTCACAGAACGGTTTAATCGCACTCTCGGTGATATGTTCACGATGTACACCGCTTCAGACCAGACCAATTGGGACACTGTCCTTCCATTCGTCACGTATGCGTATAACACCACTACGCACGCGACAACAGGGTTTTCCCCTTTCTTTCTGTTGTACGTAAGCGAACCATCGTGCACGCTGGACACTATCTTCCCATACACGCCCGACTCCTCTGAGTACACTGCAATTTCTGATGTTGCCAGGTACGCAGAAGATTGCAGACGATTGGCCCGTTCACTGACAACCGAGGACCAAGGCCACTAGAAGCTACGGCATGACACCAACCGACATCTCTCTACTTTCACGACTGGTGCTCTTGTTTGGCTCTGGATTCCACCGAGTACTCCTGGCCTTTCCTCGAAATTACTGGCATGATACCATGGGCCCTACCGCATTCTCGCCCGTACGGTGAGATTGAGCCTTTGACACAGTCTCATGACTTACGCCGTCGTGGCCGAGAAATTGTGCATGTGGGTTGCCTGAAGCCATATTACGACCCCGCTATAGTGACTACGCCTTAAGTCGTCAGGTTGGCTACGCTATTCACCAGGGGCCAATGTATGAAACTATGCGAACGACGACGAGGAAGCAAGAAACGGCAAGCCACAGCGTTTGTGCACACGTGCGACCCGAGCTTGCGCTTGTTTTGTATTTTCGGCCTGTTGACGTTCCTCGCTCTTCTGGCGTTCCTTGGCCTTCCAGTAGGTCTCTACGTAAATAAACTACGTGACACCATGTCACTTTATGTATACTGACGTATATCCATCATGGATATGACGTGAAATATACACTAACCCCCGTATTCACAAATGCTCCTCGACTCGAATTTCATTCTTCACTTGACAGAGTTGAGCACTGCGCCACCACTTGGCTAAAAATGATGCTGCGCTACTCAACAATCGCAGCAGACTATCGCTAATATGCAGGGACTTTCCATACCTAAAGATGGCGCTTCCATCGGCTTTCTCAAGTGAAGGCGAAGCGTTGAGTGAAGAAAGGTTTTAGAATACGGGGTTCAGAGACAGCAAAAAAAAGAAAACGATGAAGGTTTTGTTGCTGGGAATCGAACCTGTGGCCCCTCGCTCCTAAGCATACGGCACGAAACGAGTGAACCAGGGAACACCTAGACTGGGACACGATGATGGTGATCAAAACTTTATACTCCCAAAAGAGGGGCCCGGCTGAGAGGTCAGTTACACTGCTTAGAGAAGGTCAGCGGGGATCCCGAAGAACACATTCTTGAACAAACTAACGGTGAGATATTTACATACACCGTTTGCTGTTGGTGGTACTCAGAGCTCATTGGCTTCAGCACGTTTTCACAGCCCCCACTGAGATGACACGACAGGCTAGAAGAACACTCTTTAAAGATTGTCACCTCATGTGTTAGGATGCGCGCACTTATTTCATAAGAACGGTTCTAAGTTTTGTGCTCCGATCACAAGTTAGGGAAAGTACGAAGGTCATTTTGCTCACTGTAGTGGCCGCTTTTGCAAAAAGAGTGCGCCGCTCAAGCATGAAGAAGTTGCAACTGTGACAGTTTTAGTTTGCACTATATTAAGCACCATATAATAAATACCGTAACAAGGGCCAGATGAGGATGAACCATATGATATTTGTTTCTTGCAGCTGTGGTTAACCAGCTAAAAAAAAATTTGGTTCTAGTTACGTGAGACACCCTCTATTCACTGTGACAGATGCGAAAGCGCCTAGCTATTTTAGTTATTTATATTCATTTCAAATTTTTTTCATTTGTTCATCATAAAGTTTATTTTGCTATTGCTAGTTACCAGGCAATTAGAGCTATAAGTGGCAATCTGAATAGCAGTAGTATTCTGCAATGCTTTATGCCACTGCGGTACATCTGAAACGTTTCTGGCTGTCTCGAGTTTTCTTAAGAAGTGTTGAAAAAGTGCACATCAGTGAATATGTTGTTAATGAGTGATGATCTTGTAAGTAGATGGCAACCCACTGGCCCATCAGCAAGTGGAGCAGTGACACCTGTCATTAAAAAAAGTGTCGACCAACAGCGCATCATGTAAAGAGCTGCCATGTTAAGCAGCCAAAGCAGTGCCAATAAGTTGTTTTGGAATTAAGACTAGGATATTTGGGCATAAAAGGCAGGGATTTTAGATAATAATAGACATATCACTAAAGTTAAACAAAATTGGTAGCAGCTAGGAAATATTCAAGAAAACATTTTGTTTATAGGCATCTCATATCCCTCCTCATATAGGCCTATAACGACAAATGTATCGAAGTATCTTAAGATACAGCTGGAAAGTATCGTATCAGATACAACAATTCTGTAGTATCTTGTGTATGTATACCGAATACATTTTGTTCGAGTATTGTGATAAAATTTTAAAGTATCTTTGCTTAGCTCAGGAAGAAAATGCAGTGGATGAAAAGAGAACTTAGTGCTTGCAGGGACCGAACATCAACCTTCAACTGATGCGCCCGAGGCTACGTCACTTGAAATGCGGCGGCAATCCACATTATTGAATATTTATGTGCATGCAAACATGGGGGCGTTAGTCAGCGCTGCTTGTAGAGTTGGCAAGTGAGGCACACTCTTTTCATTTACCAGCTTGCGTCACATGATGCGTCAGCGAGCGGACAGCTGAGTGATAAGCCTTCGCTTACTACCCGAAGGCATCAAGTCTGCCGGAACAAAAACAGTAGAATGCTTATAAATGTACAATGAACTTTTCCTGTAATTTCTTTGGCTTCAGTATCTTCTGGTTTTCATTAAGGTTGTGTAAAACAAAGAAATGGGCCTTTGAAATTTCCTTCTTTTATTTGCTTCTTGACAGGTTGCATGTAGTGACTCTTCATTTTTAGCAGCTTACATCTAGCATTTCTAGCCATCTCGCACGAAAATCCACACAAGGCTTTTGAAACAGTTTTTCGTTTGTGAACTTGCTGAAATAACTTGAAACATTTGAGACTGGATCGTTGTACAGCCCGCTTAAATCAGGTTAATCCAAGGTAAACCTTGAGCCAAATGCATTCTATCGCATCCTCTTGTTATGTCGTTTTATATATATTTGGTCAGAGCTGTCAAGAACTTACAAAATAACCTGCAAATTTACTAAAAAAAGGAATAAAAGCAAGCAGTTGTGTGGAATGCATATTTACAATCAGCTTTATCAACGTCTCACCAAAGAGCTTAAAAAATTACTCCTAACGTCACTGGGAGAAAGTAATCAGATTGGCTTCCTGCATGACATCACTTAGCCTTGCAAGCCATCGCAAATTAATATTACTTGCAATGTAAATAATTGCATTTCCCATGCATATACTATTCATAGCAGAAAATAGATTCATGTGGGCCAGAAGTTCATCCCGAATTAAGCACCTACCATGGTTGTCTAGTGCTTATAGTGCTCAACAGCTGGCCCAAAGGTCACGAGATTAAGCCCTGGCTGCTGCGACCGCATTTTCGGTTGAGGTAAAAACGTTTGATGCCTGTGTAGTTCGATTTAGATGCACAATACAGAACCCCAGGTGGTTGAAATTTCCAGAGCTTTCTGCTATGACATTTTTCATAATCATATTGTGGTGTTGGGATGTTAAACACCGAAAACATTAATTCAAGCCAGCCATACCAAAGAACATTAGATACATATGTAAAAAAAATGCTGCTAATGTGCACTGTTGAGGACTACATAATCAGGCAAGGAACAAGAAAGCGAAAGTTCTCGTTGAAAGATTTCTTATCACTTTGAATATGTGCACTGCTGACATTTGTTACATTGTTATAGATGACGTAGATAGACAAGGTCAAGATTTCAAGATACTTACTGCTGACATAACCAGTGAACAATATGTTAAGTCCAGTGTAGTTCCCACTTGGAGTTGACTTTGTGGTCACCACTACCAGCGTGATTCTGTTCTCTCGCATGGCAACGAAACGAGATCCGATGGCCCTGGATGTGCACAACGGAGCCAGCAAGACCCTTTCATTGTCAACCAGCTGTGAGATGAATATCAAATATGGCATGGTTCAATATGATGCCACAATAAAAAGGAACTCATTCGTTTGTTGTAGTCATGTAGTTAATTTATTTATTTTGTGGTTGCTCTTATCGGGCTTCATTAGCAGAATTTTCGAGTATATTAGTCTTCTATGTATCTACAAAAATTGTGAGTACGCTCACTAATTGATTGTGCATGGAGGTCGCATACATATTTGTAACTTTATTTAACACCACATTTGACAGTGACCTTTGTGTGACTTGTTTGAAAAATACCACAGTTCAAACACTTAGCCTCAGACAGCATTACATTGGAATTAGAACAGCGTGCTCATTTGAACATGCATGTGACCTCTTGCTCAATTGTGCCATGCTTTGTGGAGCCACAGATTTTTGAAAGAGGCAAGAACAAAGTAGCTCATGAAATCTGGAAAACATTTTTATCACAAAGGAAATGTGAGTAAACATTCTGCAAGAGATGCGTGCGTAAGATTGTTTGGTAGTGTTCATGTTAAGTAAAATGATCGTGAATTCACGTGCATGCGTTATCAAAAGGAATGCTTTTTCATACGCTTCAAATTTGCAGTTTTACTAAATTTATTATTATTATTATTATTATTATTATTATTATTATTATTATTATTATTATTATTATTATTATTATTATTATTATTTATTATTATTATTATTAGTTCACACTAGCTGCACCAACAGCACGTATTGCTTGAGCTCTAACAGTTTCTGAAGGTGCACCAGTAAGTGCCATTAAGTTCTTGCCTCTAGGCGGTCAGAAAGGGAGGAACAGCACTTATGCTTGCTGGCCTATAAATACAAGCTTCTTTTCTTTCTATGAAAATAACAAATGGCTTCACATTAGCACATGAGAATTCAGTTTTAGCAATGGGTACTTGGCATAAGCAGTACTGTTGTGTACTTTCTTAATTTGTGATAGTCTACACTCCTAATTATCTAGATGTCATACAACGGCCATCATGTACACTAGTTACATTGAAGTACGCTCAAACCTCAATATAAGAAATCCGGATATAGTAAAATATCAGTTATAACGAAGTAAACGAAGAATAGTCTTGTAATAGATACAGTGTTAGGAAAACACCTTTACAATGAATTTTCGGGTATGACGAACTTATTTGCCTGCGATATGCAAGTTTGTTATAATATGAGGTTTGACTGTACACTAGCGCAGTGATTGCACTACATTAAGACAGGATTTAAACTAAGGATGGCTCCTTCACGGATTATCCTCATTTACACTTCTAACTGCAATACTCATACAAAAGAAACCACATGCAAAAAAAAAAACGATTTAATAGTGTTATGGTCTGTCCACTTGGGCTGGCCATCAGGTCATGGCAGAAAGCTAGGAAGGTAGAAAGTTGTATTAGTTGGTATGATTTTACACAAGTACAAACAACAGGGACAAATGTGTTATGTTTGTCTATTTACTCTATTAGTGAATGAAAACAGTTCCTGGGGCTTTCACTCAGTCTCGTGGTGACTGGACATTGATTCTGTCTGTAGAAAAGCACTGACAAGCTTGATTATTTGCAACAAACACATAAGAGAACACCCACACATGCTAAAATGAACTTCCTGACAAACGCAGTATTGATAATACAGGTGTTGTTGACTTTCCCACATCAAGTTCATCTGTTCAGACTAGCTCAGAAGAGAGCTGTTTGCTTTATTTTTTCATTACTGTTATTATTCTCCATTCACAAAGTCTATTCGTGGCACCCCTCAGGTAGAAAGGTAATAGGTCATTGAAAGCATTGCACTTCATTATGAATTTTTTTTTGTCACCTATGAAACACACTTCTTTATTGTTTGCCAAGCAGCTCAATCTCAACATAGGCCACTCGCATGCTCATGAATTCAAGAACTGCTATACTGTAATGAAAAAAATTGATGGCCGCCTGCCAGCAAAACCGACACTACATACACTGTGTGAATGAGCACACACTTGTAAAACAAATATATGGTTAATGTGAGAACTGTTATATTGATGGATATTTCAATTCAAAAGATGTGTCCATAAGCTCTAAAATATTTTGTCTAGGCAATCACCTTTCAGTTTAATAGGTGTTAAAGCTTCAATTATACATGTGTTTTGTTTAGCGATGCAGCTGCACAGAAAATATTTTTTTGCCGCTGTACTTACTCTCATCAGTATCTGCACAGTCTGTAGATAATAGCATGCATGCAGTAGAAGTCATGGTATCTTGTAATGTCATTCAGTACGCCACTGAAGGCTGTATGGCCTCTAAGAACTCATAGAATTATTGCAGTTTTGTTTTACAATCAACACTAATAAATTTTCACCCATTTATTCGAGTGAGCATGCAAAAATAGCTCAAATTATTTGAACAATAGAGCCCCGCCGCGGTGGTCTAGTGGCTAAGGCACTCGGCTGCTGACCCGCAGGTCGCGGGTTCAAATCCCGGCTGCGGTGGCTGCATTTCCGATGGAGGCGGAAATGTTGTAGGCCCGTGTGCTCAGATTTGGGTGCACGTTAAAGAACCCCAGGTGGTCGAAATTTCCGGAGCCCTCCACTACAGCGTCTCTCATAATCATATAGTGGTTTTGGGACGTTAAACCCCACATATCAATCAATCAATTTGAACAATAGAAGCTTCTGGGCATCATGGACACAGTTGAAGGAACCATGATAATAAATTAATCAAGGCCCCTAACTCATATTTGCTTTCCTGCTGTTTGATTTCATTTTCAAAAAAACTGGCAGTAGCACTCATGGGCCTTGGCAGGAGGGTGCAAAAGGGGCAATGAGCCCTCCCAAGACACTCCAGCACTTGCCCTCTACCTAAGTCTCGCTAGCATTCGTACTCCGCAATGCAAAACGTGTTTGCACTCCCCAAGGCACAATCCTGCCGACGCCTATGGCAGCGCAGGAGGCGTTTGGGGATCTCCTTGACACCATATGGTCATTGCGCTCTATCATATTGGCCATTTCAACCTGACTTGAGCTCCGCATCACTCCAGATGGGAAAGCTTTCACCATTATTGGAATCAATGATGCATGGTTCTGCGTACCACAGCTACAAAAAGCAACGAAAGTACTACTGTGATTCTTGAAGGCTTCAGGATTGATTGCAAGTCTGCGAAATCAAGCACGGAACTGTTCCTGAGTTAGCAGCATCAACAGTGGTCTTTTTGTTCTCTTAAAATTTTCTCCCCTATCCCAGTGTATTGCAGCCAACCATGGACATACAGGCTTAAGCTGCCTCCCTTTAATTTGTTCTCCTTGCTAAACGGTTCATAAGAAGTGATATACAGTGTAATATAAAACTATGCAATTTAATTATAATAAGTGAGAGTATTATTTTGTGTAATATGTGTCATACGAATAAATGGACTGAAATGTGTCAGAAAATTTTGTGTCGTGGCTCTTTCTTCTTGGGCTAGCCTAACCTCACTTGCATAGCATGCACAAGTACCTTCATGTAGTCCAGGCATCGCGTTGCATCCCAGCGCATATTGAGCATGCGCACGACGAAAAGCAAGCCATCTGCCCACGGTGCACTAACAGTGAGGGAACAGCGAGAGTCTCCTGGGTATGGAGGGTGTCTGCTCAATGTCAGCTCAACTGCCGAACTTACACTGCTGTCACTGAGCTCCAGTGAGTGCTGGCCATCTTGACACTGCTCCAGTAGGCGGACTGCTGAAGGGCAAAGGGATTACGTAAATTACACTTGTTGCCTTAACTACCGAACAAAGCTGCAAAGTAAATCCACGCCATTTTCTCGGCAGTAAACCCAGTTTAAGCTGTTAAAAAATTTCTCCTGCTTCAGGATGCAATCAATACCAGGACCAATGCATTTCCACGGTGGTGGTTCTACAATCTGAGCTCACCAGGATGCTAGGGGGTTGTTGTGTAAGGGAGAATGATTCAAATCACAGAGCATGCACACTGAATCTTGAACCAGGATAAATTTTTATCAACTGCATGGCTTTCTTTGTGAGAAACTAGTGTGGACTTCTTTCAAATATTCGTTTTTCGAATGGGTGGATTAGAACTTTTTTCATGAAAGATGTGGTGCAAGGTTAGACTGGAGAAGAAACAATTCGGGACGGAATGAGCGCCAACTCATACTCAAGTAATGATGCACCAATCTAACCAAACATAACGTGCTGCTGAAAAATTTTTTCTTTGTATAAGCCTTCCACCATACTTTGGGCTTCCACAAAGCTTATTTGCCATTCCAGCTGTTTGTACCCATGTACAAACTTGTACTGTAAAGGCTTGTACTTTGTTTGCTGGACATGCACTCATCCAAATATAAGTGCTTGAGCATATTTTCATTTATTTATTTATTCAAAATTGATAAGTTAAGCACTAAATATCAAATTCTTTAATGCTATTTCATTAATTTTGATATGTGTTCAGACAATTATTTCTGAGCCTTTAACAATTGTTGTGGGAAAACAGGAAGGCTTTTCTTCAGTTTGTCATTGATATTTCATGTGAACAAAAAAGAAAATATTTCAACTATTTGCCCCCCACTCTCTTCACACTGAATTATTTCAACCCCAAGAATAGCTTTAATTTTAATACTACACCATCCATCCATGCATCCTCTCACGTATTCCACAGTATACACATCATGCTTGCCCAATACAACATTCAGGTTTATAAAAATCCAAAATCCTCTTGCGGAACGTTCTGAAGATCGTGTAATACAACAGTTAAGATTGTATTAGGTATACAAATCAAACACCAGTAGTAATCCGGGCGTTTAATGCTATATATGCCTGCTTTTCATTTACTTGGTCAAATCAGTTTGGAAGCTCAAATTGGTAGTAGAGGGCCAAGAAATGACTATAGTCGACCATGTATCAATAAGGTTGCTCTGACATTACCGTCCGTACTGATTACTAATTGTGCTTCATATGAATAAACTGTGATTACAAAGACAGAGTTCACACCTCTCGCGAGGGAAATTAAGCAAAATTACGAGACAGGGCGCGCTTGGGAATCTACAAAATAACTTCACTTAAACGTATTCGTGGTTACTTAATTACACTTGTGCAAAACCTCAAATGAGATGACGATAGTTATAGCGTGAGAACAGAACGACGACGCAGAGACAAGAAGGACACGAAGGCTTGTTTGTCTCTGCGTCGCCATTCTGTTCTCGCGCTATAACTATCGCCATGTCATACCAACTAGCCCCAGCTGCCACAACTCAAATGAGATGGTGATCCTGTATTTACGGTACTGAATCTCGATGCACTAATTTTCATCGCGTTGACTGCACTTGAAAATGTGACAAATGAGGGGTGCAAGCGTTTCACATGAAAGCTGGGCGTCCGAGTCAGCGAGGCAGGCTATAAGGAAGAAAAAAAGTTTCCGCGTCAGCATTCTCCCAGAGTTCGAGACGAATTCTATTTGGCGCGAATTAGCGCGCGAAACTAGCAGCATGCGAAACTAGTGGCGCCCTACATTTCATATTTGCGCGCTTTTTAGCGCGGGCGTCAACTCTAGCAGACGACATTTTTGACGCCTCCTATCGGTTGGGATCCGCTAGAGACGCCTCGGGCGAATTACATTATAGTGCTCATCTTAGTTTAAGCTTCGCTAGATCGAGGCTTGCAGCAAATAAAGTTATTGGTAATCTATAACCACCGTCGTACGGGAGGTAAGAGCACCAGTTCGTGGCCCCGTTTGCGTTGTTCTCTCGGTTGTGCTTTGCCAATGGCTTTGCTTCATTGTGCGTTTGTGTATGTTTCGCTGCATTGCACGATTGCACTTTCACGAGCTGGCAGTGGCGCAGGCCGAGTGCCAGCGTAGTGTTGGCGCGAACTGTACGGCGAGGAAATGTTATCGAAACGGGTGTCCGATCAGCGGCCGTCAACAGCGTCGACAATGCAAGCCGATCTTGGAGCGCAAGGTAGCTTTTTTCTTCCCATTCAATGGAGTGATGCTACGGGACCTGTCGTTTTGTATAACTGGTAGCGTCACACTTTTGCGATGGCGCGCGAAAAATAAGCATCTTGCGTTTGGTTCCTACAACGAGCTACGCGCGCCGTTTCGGATGATAAAGGCCAAATAACCCTTACCACTCGCAGCTAAAAATGTTCTGGCAAGCAAACACAAATGGGCGCTGCTACATGACTGCGAGAAAATGTAAAAAATTGCGCATGCGTCGTATGCTAGCCAAAGCCAGTCCCCGTTCCCGTTGCGTGTGGGAAATCGTGAGCCAGTCGTGCAAGGAAAAGCTCGCTGTCCGCTGCAGAGCTGCCGTCGTGAAGTTGTAGGTAGGTGCTCGATTTCTCGACACGCGTCGTATTTCGGGTCGCCAAACGAGAGTTAACGCATCGCCGTGCTGAATTTAAGCGTTTTCTGAAGGGAACACAGGGCTTCCCTTGTAAGCTTAGGCCTAGACTGCGTCGCATTTAGTATTTTTTGTGCACCTCGAATTTTGCTTTTGTATTTCGGGGAGCTTTCCGAAGTGGTGAATGCGTAGCGGCTCGGCGAATATTTCGTTTTTATTTGGGAATATAAAAAAAAAGTCGTTCAGCGTTCTAGAGAAGTGCGGTAAACATAGTTTGAAAATTGTGAAAGCGTAAATGTCGCTATCGACGCCAGAGTACCTACCGCAGCTGACCAATCTGGTTTTAATCCCAGCGAGCTTTCCTTTTTGTTTTTAAATCTTTTCTTTTACGGATAGGTTTATTTCTTCGGGAAGGATAGGTGAACGGATTTCTTTGTTGGTGCGTTTTCCCGCGGTATGTTCGCAGCGTTTCGTTGAAGAGATGGTGGCCTGCGCGGAATATTGTTTGGATCATGTATGTCCTGATGTGAACCCTCTGCGTTGCGCTGGGGAGACATGCGTCCGCTTCTCGTATCGCCCGTTCTGTCCGAGAAAATAGAAAGCAAACAAAAGCCTGCCTCCTCAACATCAGCTGCCACGGCGAGTCAAACTCGTTGTACCTCGCTGTTAGTCATCGTATTTATTGCTGGGACAGCGTCTGAGGTGTCGAGGTTTACTCCTCCGCTCGACTGTCGCACGCAGCTGTGAGGGAAACGCAGTGGGCTAGACTCACCATACATTCGAGCAAGCGGGGTATTATCTGCCGCTGTACGCGTTGTCTGACTGCTTGCCATCGTTGTGTGTCTCAACTTTATGCGCTTCCGGTGCAGCCTGCTTTTTTCGGGGTCTTTCTATCGTGGTCACCGTTTTGCGCAGGCAACTTGTGTAGTGTCGAAGCTTACGAACGCTTTGTACTAGACTGCGCACGTCCGAGCAGCCACGCGCAGTATGCGAGATGAGAGAAGCGTGTGCCTCCAGTTCATTGATTCTCCGGTGCGTCTAACGTTTAACTCGTCGTACCGGAGAGTGGCGTGATAAATGTGATACGCCATAATGCTTACGGTTTCGTGTTGGGTTCCTGTGACAATCAACTCTGCCCGCTTGTGTAGAAATTAGTTCCACATTTCGCGAAGTTACTTTGAAAGTCGAGTGCTTTTATTACACTATGGGATGCTCTTTTACTGCAACCTGTTTTGCATTTCAGGCTAGCTGTGCGCCGAGGGAAGAGCAGTGTCACTGGACGCCATCAGTTTTTCGAAGACACTGCCATGTAAAAGTGGCCAATGTGAGTGAAACCTGTGCATTATGGATCATAGCAGTGCAGACTGTTGCTTCCTGTTCTTCTTTCACGCTTGGCGACTTTGCCATTAATGTACCATAAAAGCATGTGTACCTGTCATCTTATATGCTTTAGCAACTTTGTCGTAAGTAAGCTTTGCTTGACACCCATATGTTCTATATTGAACTAATAGCCGACCACATTTGCTGGACCGTTAATATCAGTGAAATAATGTACCATCATGGTGAAGAATATATGGCTGGTGCCTATTGAATGTACCTGTTAGGGGATTTTGATATTTTAGCTATTAGTTTAGCATGCATATATGATCTTGTTTTTGTGGCCATCTGTGTGGGTCAAAAATGAAAGTTGATCAGCTTGTAGGGCATAGTCTGTTGCGAGGACTATTTCATATGCACAAGTGTTCAGTCATGCACGTTTTGCGAAATGGTGCATTCTACCAAAGGTCGCTGTAAATGTATAAACACATTCGCATTTGAAAAGCATGCAGGGCCTCTCGCTTGTGGATACTTATGCTGCAGTGAATTAGTACTTTGATTTTTACCCTTTAAAAGTTATTTTACCGATGGTGATTTTGATGTGGTTTATTTAAATCAAGAAATAGCAAGAAATAAGCTTGTATGCTTAGTGACAATGAAGAGGAGGCCGTGCTTACAGTAACTTTTATCTCACCAGCTGGTCTGGTGTTGTCTTGAAACTCGCATACGCATTTTGCTGTTGTGCCACAAAGTGCAGAGGTCTCCTTAGTTTTGTTTGCCTTACTTTATCTTCTGAGGCACATATCACTTCTGCTGGGTTATCATTGGAGACCAGAAAGCGTGGTTTAGCAGAGGCTTTCTGAAAAACGTCGATTCACCATCCAGAGTCAAAGCCACTTTAAACAATCAATATTTTTTTGATAATGGTAGTAAATGCATTGTATGTGCAGGAATAATTTCTTCACAACCTAAATTTTTGAGGTCTCTAAGAAGGTTGATTGATATGTGGGGTTTAACGTCCCAAAACCACTATATGATTATGAGAGACGCCGTAGTGGAGGGCTCCGGAAATTTAGACCACCTGGGGTTCTTTAACGTGCACCCAAATCTGAGCACACGGGCCTGCAACATTTCCGCCTCCAACGGAAATGCAGCCGCCGCAGCCGGGATTCGAACCCGCGCCCTGCGGGTCAGCAGCCGAGTACCTTAGCCACTAGACCACCGCGGCGGGGCTCTCTAAGAAGGTTCTGCTAACTTCTCAAACTCTATGCTGACTTTCTCCCCTCTTATTTGGAAGCATAGCTGCTTTTTGTTTCTCTCAAGCTGATGCATGAACAAGGAGATGTGTGTTTTTAAAAATGTTATTGTCACTGTTTGAAGTTTTTGTTAGGGGGCAAGAGATACGGCAAATGTCACTTCTTTAAAGGCAAAACTGTTTGTTACTGTAAATGTATTGTCACTGGTATTGTCAGGATGTATCAAGAACTAGTACTTACCCAAAAAGCATAATTACAATACTAGACAGACATTATCAAAATGACATCGATAAACTGCAAGAGAGCAGTCCATTGGGATAGTTTGAGTACATTTATATTTGTTAGTACCGAGTCAAGAAGTGCTTCTTTTGTGTCTTCTTGCTAGTACCCTTATGTTGTGCTACCCAATGTGCTTTCCAGTGATACTGTTATTCATTGGCAGCAGGACAAATACTTGGCCTGTAGATCTCCGACTGACAACCTTTCTCTTAATTGTTGTACGTCCATATGCTAACATTAATCGTATCTGCCGTTAATGTTCACCTTGCTTAATTTTACATCTTTGTTGGTTGAAATGTGTTAAAAAAAAGTCTTGCATGTGTCTTCTGCTTTGCAGAGCCTTTTGATAAACCCTGGTATGGTTTGCTGTGGGCGGATTGCCTATGGCCGACCAACCTAACAGCCAGACAGGGGGGTTAAAGAAGCCACAGCCTCTCGTTGGGACACGGTCTCCCATTCAAACTAGGTAAGTGGCATTGGATTGTTGCTTTGAAGTGTACTCTGATCACAGGTTGGCAAACTCGCTTGTGGGTTGGCTGACTTGGACTCGCGCATACTTCGATCATGAGTGATATTTTGGGTCAGGTCAAAAGCAAGGGAGTCCGGTAGAGGAAAATTTTAGTGGCTTGGGAGTGCAGCTGAGCAAAATACAGGCAAGTCCGAGTTTGAGTGAGTCCTAGGCACAAAATATGTTTGTCGGAGGGGAGTCTGCATGAGCTCCAATTTTTTTCGCTGAACTATAGATCTGATGCGTCGTACAGCTTGTGGTAACCTCGCTAGTAACCTAATCGAGACCACCGTAAGTTCAGGCTTAGCGAGTCACAGGGCCACGTATACAGTCACCTGCTCGCGTACAGTGCACCGTTCCGCACGCGCTCAACTCGCCAGCTGAATGGTTAGTTGAGCGGTGCACTACCCACACACCACACGCAAGCACTTCATGTGGCACCCACAACACAATGATGTTTGCGGCTTATGGCGTTAACCCATTGCATGTGTTTCCCAAACTCTTGCGTTCATGACATGAGTTATCTCGACAGGGGCTTGGCAAAAATTACAAAATCAATAACTTTAAGCAAACCATTATCACTGTTAATATTAATAGTTGCTATTGACCTTTTGATAAATTTTGCCATGTACCGCTCGATATTTGAAGCAAATTGTTCAAACATATTCTTGTACCCGGACTTCGACTTGACTCTCATTGTCTCCCTCCCATTGGCCACGTCTATAAATCTGTTTTCTTTTTTCCATTACTCCATGCTGTTTTGGGAAAGTGGTTTTGCGATAGCAAGGTCGGGATTTCGCACTCGATATCTAACAGTCATAAAAGCAAATTCTGCAGTTTAATCAGTAGAGAATAAAAAAAACTGCACTGGACCGGTGAATGGAGACATCCAATTACAAATGCAGTTTTGTATACTCATGTAGACAAGGAACCCAAAACCACGATTTGACATTCACTATGAATGCTATTCACTATGAATGCTATTCACTGTGAATCACATTACATGTGTCGTGCGGCAGGGCTTTAAGTTGCGATGCTCACGATATCCTTGTTGTGGCAGGTCCCGCACACGCACCTTGGCTCACTGTGACGGCTACCCGTCGGCCCACAACGGAATTGCATTGGACGCTCAACAGCCACCAGCACAGCCGCCACCACCGCAGCAGCAGCAGCTGGATCAGCCGCCCAGCAGCGCAGTGAAGCGCAACCTCGATTCTGAAGACGCACCCCAGCAACACAAGAAGCTCAAGAGTCACTTCAGGCCTTGCAGTAAGGGCATGTCTTCTAGCATGCCCACCCGCCATGGTAATCTAGTGGTGTTAAAAAGACTGGACTTTTGAACACGGACGCAAGATAGAAGTCAAGTCTGCCACAAACACGGTCTAACTGAAAACGGCGCGCTGCAACGGAATAGAAGGCAGACTCCAAAACTTACCTGCACCTGTCCTGGCAAAAGGCAATACCTATAAATACAGCATGTGGTGTCTTGACTTCTTGTTGTGTCTGCATTCCCTGTCTTTTTAACATGAATACTTGTCGACCAGTTCATTTCTCCATTGTTCTTGCCTAGTGATTATGGTGCTTGACAGCTGACCCAAAGAACGTTAGTCACGATGGAGGTGAAATCGTTGAGGCTAAATTACTTGGATTTAGGTGCATGCTTAAGAACACCACTTCGGCATCTCTCATAATCATATCTCGGGTTTGAGACTTGAAACCACAACTATATTATTACTTTCACACCCACTGTGGTGGCTTATATGCTGTGGCATTGCTATGCCAAGCACAAGGTTGTAGATATGGTTCAGAGTCTCAACAGCAATGTTTTGGTAGAAGTAGCTGTTAGGCTAGTTCACAAGTCGTTGTGATAAAACAATTGTGTGTAAATTAGCACTCCCTTATTCACGCATACACGTACGTCGATTATATATGGGTGTGGTCTTGCAGTGGACTCGTGTTAAACAGAACGTGAAGGGACCAAGAAAATGTGTTCCATTTTTAAGGGGACAGAGTAAGCGAGAATATTGAAAACTCCATTTTTTTTTTTCCTGTGTAATGGGCGATTGTTTTTTGTCTAAAAATGACATATATCAAAATTTGTGCAGCGGCCTGCTATGCCCCTACACTTATGTAGCAAGGGAATCCTTGCAGTTCAAGCATCATAGCCATATGGGGAAGTTACGTTTGCAAGCTGGAGTGAATTTTGCACATTGAGAAAATAATCGGCCCAGAACTGCAAAAACTAAAGGTAGTAGAGACATCAAGATTTCTGGCGAGAAATTAATATCTAGTCGGGGACATCTAAGTGGTGTAATCATTGGCAAGCACCAAGACTATTATCGTTGGGCCATTAAAAGAATTAGAGCCAGCTTGGAGGACATGCAAAAAGCTGTCTGGCCCACATATTTCCACATGGCATCAGAGGATACCAATCAATCCCACGAACTTTGCTCGAAGGACGCCGAAACTTGGTGTAAATTCAACAAAGTCCATTTGAACAGTGAACCATTCGTTCATAAAGAACACGTTCCTGCATCCGTTGTTAAGCCTAATTACTGGATGTAGCTTATCCAGATTTACTTGCTAAATGCCTCCTTGGAAAAACTCAAAGCCATAAGTTGTTGGATTGTCGTGTGGGAGCGTTTTTCAAAAGAAACGTTTTTCTTGGGCACCAAACACTAAATATACAATCTTGATGCTGTGTTCTCTTTTAATAAGGGCAATATAGCCCTTATTATAGCACTGCCCAGTGCGGGGCCTATGCACCCTTGAACTGCGTCGATAATACTGTGCTAGCGCAGCTGAATAGCAGGTGACAAATGAGGCTCTTCAGGCAAGACGTTTCAACACCAAAAGAAAAAAAATGATATTGGTGAAGAATATATGGCTGGTGCCTATTGAATTGGTTCGCTAATCTTCTTGTACAATATGCTGTTGTGGTATATTGCTCAATTTGCTGTTATCTAATTGTACTTTTGAAATAACTCAGATTTTTAACTTAATGCAATTACCTGATGACATGCTTTATTTGTACTTCTTTTTCTCTCAGCAACCACAGTATCTAGAATCATAGATTTCG